AGTGGGAGACTTCAGTACTCCTCTATCATCAAGACACAGGTTATCCAGACAAAAAAAATCAACAAAGAAAATGTGGAAGTGAACAACAGAAATCTACAGAGTATTCATTTCATTACGCAACAGCATAATATATATATTCTTTTCAGCAGCCCATAGAACTTTCTCCAAAATGGATATTTTAGGTCACAAAGCAAGCCTTAACAAATATAAAAAAAAAAAAATTGAAATAACCCCCTGTGTACTGTCTGACTACAATGAAGTAAAACTAGAACTCAAAAACAAAAGAAACAGTAGAAAATACTCAAACACCTGAAGACTAAACAACATGTTGCTCTATGATCAGTGGGTCATCAAAGAAATAAGGAAGGAAATCAAAAAGTTCCTGTAATTTAATGAAAATGAAAGTACACCTACCAGAACCTATGGGACACAGCAAAGGGACTGCTAAGGGGAAAGTTTTTAGCCATGAATATATACACTGGGAACACAAAAAGATCTCAAATAAATGACATAATGCAGTATCTCAAACACCTAGAAAAACAAGAACAAGCTAAACCTAAAACAAGCAGAAGGAGAGAAATAATAAAAATAAGGGCCAAAATGAATGAAATAGACCAAAAACTCCATACAAAGATACAACAAAACAAAAGGCCAGTTCTTTGAAGAGATAAAAAAGATTGATAAGCCCCTAGCAAATCTGACTAAAATGAGGAGGAAGAAGACCCAAACTAATAAAATTAGAAATGAAAAGAGGGAGATCACAACAAGTCCCATGGAAATCCAGAGAACCATAAAGGATTACTTCAAAAACCTGTATTTAAATAAATTGGAAAATCTAGAAGAAATGAATAAATTTCTAGACATATATGACCAACCAAAATTGAACCAAGAGGATATAAATCACCTGAATATATCTATAACAAGCAATGAAACTGAAGTAGCAATAAAGTCTCTCAGGTCCAGGACCTAATGCACTCACTGTTGAATTCTATTCCAGACATTTAAAGAACTAATTACCAACACTCCTCGAATTTTTCCATGAAATAGGAAGGGAAGGAATCCTGCTAAAAATCATTCTATGAAGCCAGTATTACACTCATCTCAAAACCAGATAAGGGGACATACATACAAAAAAAGAGAGAATTGTAGACCAATCTCTTTAATGAACTTAGAAGCAAAAATTCTCAACAAAATACTGGAAGACCGAACTCAACAACATATCAAAAAGCTTATACACTACAATCTAGTTGGTTTTATCCCAGGAATGCAAGAAAGGTTCAACACACACAAATCATTAAATGTAATACAGCATTAACAGAAGCAAAACCAAAAAACCAAACAACAAAAACCCACATGATCATCTCAATAGATATAGAAAAGGCCTTTGACAAAATTCAACATCCTTTCATGATAAAAGCTCAGATGAAACTAGAATAGAAGGTATGTACTTCAACATAACACTGGCTATCTATGACAAGCCTACAGCCAAAAATCATACTAAATGGGGAAAAACTGAAACCATTTCCTCTAAAGTCATGAATGAGATAAGGGTGTCCATTCTCTCCACTCTTACTCAACGTACTTCTAGAATTCCTTGCCAGAGCAATAAAACAGGAAGAAAAAATAAAATGAATTCAAATAGGAAAGAAGAAGTCAAATTATCCCTATTTGCAGATGACATGATCTTATATCTAAAAGACCCAGAAAACTCCACCAAAAAACTTATAGACATCATAAACACCTTCAGAACAGTAGCAGGATACAAAAACAATCTACAGAAATCAGTAGCCTTTCTAAATACCAAAACGAACAGACTGAGAAAGAATACAGGAAAACAATTCCATTTACAATAGCCTCAAAAAACAAAAAACAAACAAACAAAAAAACCTAGGAATAAACTTAACAAAGAAAGTGAATGACCTACACAATGAAAACTATAAACCATCAAAGAAAGAAATTGAAAAGGACATAGAAAGATTTTTCATGCTTGTGGATTTGTAGAATCAATATTGTGATAATGGCTATATTACTAAAAGCAATCTATACGTTCAATGCAATCCCCATCAAAATTCCAATGACATTCATCACAGAGATTGAAAAAGCAACCCTAAGGTAAACAAAAGACTGGGGAGGGGAAGGGAAAGGAAAAGAGAATAGCAGAACATCAACAATATCAGAAAACATAACATCTGTGAAGGGAGAGGATATAAGAATATGTACTGAAAAATGCTGAAAAAATGGGGGGTGAGAAGGAATGGGTAAGGGACAGTAATGGAAAGGGATGAATGGACCAAGGTAAAATATACTCACAATGAGGATACTTCAAGAAACTCCTCTGAACATGGACTTTGGAATGAGTAATGAAAGACAGAATTATAAAACAGGTACAGAGTGGGGGGATACTTGAGAGGTGGGAGGGTGAATGGAGAGGAGAGTGAGGGAATGTGGTTGATGGGTTTCATATACATATATGAAAGAGAACAATGAAACCTCTTGAAATTGCTTTAGGGCGAGGGGAGTGGAATAGGCAGGGAAGATGGTGAAAGCAATCTATCCAATGAACAAAGTAAGGCTATTTGGAATTGTCACAATAAACCCTTCCTTTACAACCAATATATCCTAATAAAACATGGGGAAAAAATAAAAAGAGAGTTAAAAAAATAAATAAAAGCTGTATTATGCTTGGAGGGGGAAAAAAAAGCCAAGCAACTATACATATTATAAATAACCTATGCATGCTTAAAGACATACTATAAATAGCTTTCTCCCACCACACAAAAGAAATAAAACTCCCTAAGAATGTTATAATATTTGCTGTAACTAACAACTCTAAATTTTGGTCATCTATATTAGAAATCAATGATTAATATTTAAAGATTACTGGCAGAATATAAATTTTAAATTATGTAATAAATCATATATAATCTTCAACGTATCTTATCAGATTTGTTCTAATGTCACTTAAAATCTGAAACAACCAGTTGCCACATTATTAATTGATATACATGTATTTCTTCACAATATAATTCTACTAAAAAATAAATGTTTCATCAAATTCGTTCAGGTGTTCTCTATTTTTTATACTTTACATTTTTTTGTTCTGCCTACTAAAGAATAGTATTTAAACTGCTTATCACTTTTACTTGCTCATTTATAGGTTTATATTCATCTTGGAATATATAAAACAAATAAGGATGAGTAGTCCTTATATTTGTGCATCTTCAAACTATGTTTCACCTTAAGAGAATCCAACTTAGGATTCATACCTTCAATTATGTTTTTTAAAAAATACTGTATATGCACTAAAATTTTCTAATATATACATTTTTTCATCCATTCCACCATGTTTTAAGAAAAAATATGAAAGCATAAATATAAAGAAACCCTGTGGCAAATACTTTTGTAAAAGGACAATTTTTTTTAAATTCAGCTTTATACCTAGTTTATAAATTCAGATTCTTAAAAGGTATACAGATATATTTAGAAAATTCAGAAAAAATTTGAAATAATTAGCCCAATTCTGTCAATAATTTAATATTTATTTACTCATTCATTCATTCAGAACAGTGAATCAGTGATCCCTTGGCTCTGGATGGGCAATTTTTTTTATTTTCACATGATGCTAATACAAAAAAAAAAAAAGAAAGAAAGTTTCCCTGGTCAAATTAACTTAAAGAAATCCATTTTTTCTTTTCTGAAGGACTTCTTAAAAACCTGATATATGATGATGTAAGCTGTGAATTTTCAAGGAGATTATAGCATTAAGTGTTTTTCCAACTTCCAATTTTATTTAAACACTGTCTATTTTCCTGTCCCCTGGAACACCGAATGGGACACACTGAAAAAGGCTGCACACACAAATCTTAAGAAACTGGGGATAATGTAAGGAGGGAAAGTCAAGTGCTGTATCTAGAAATGCTGGTTTGTTAATCAGACAGAGAACAGTATGACTGTCCTCTACTGTAGTACAGACGAAGGCCCTGTAGATTTAATACTTAAATCGCAAACCCAAGATTCCCTGGGTGTAGATTTGGGTAAAAGTCAAAAGTAAAGACAAAGGGCATCATTGGATACAATTTAAATTAGATGCTTTTAGACATAAAGATGAAGCAAAAAGCAAGCATTTTCTTCTTGTAAGTAAGCATGGTCCTTGTTGAATCACTTTGTAAATGTCTGTAACTACTGAGGTTCCTTACTCTTATGCGCTTCACCATGAAACTGATGTTCCGGATTCCAGAGAAGTCTGTGGTCTGGTAAATTGTATCAATCGCTTTAACATGACTGGATATCTATCAATTAAGAAAAAAAGAACATTTTAGAGGCAATGTTGAAACATGAAGAGATTATGAATTTCCCTTCCCAAAATCAAGAATTATTTATGTTCCACTACGATTAAGTTTTCAAATGTCTATATCATAGATTGAACAGAAGAATGAGATGAGTGAGTTGGGGCTGAAAATGGAGATGCTGTGTTTTTTCCAGATTCTTTGTCTAAAACCCCCAGGCACTCTTGTTTTGGTCATATAAGAACTTGTCTCTTCAATCCATCCTACAATGTTACATGTGCATGCATTTCTACATGCTGCCTCCATAATGCCTGTAGCATCTTATCCGTAAGACTCCCACATTCTCTATAAAAACCTTCAGGGACAATATCAGGACACTGAGTTATTCCCTGGCTTTAGTCCTCTTACTGCTGCTTATGTTCTCTAAGTTTTGTTGACCATTTTCTACACATAAGGCACTGTTTTAGGTGCTGGAGATACTCCAGTGAACAAAACTGAGAAGGTCCATATAAATTTACTAAGGCTTATAATAGTACAGGAGGAAGTTAATACAAGTATAAAAAAAAGATACTGTCATACTTTGCTACATTCTAAAAGGAGATAAACATGGTGATAGGATACAAAGACATTTGTTTACCCAATTAAACACTGATTTCTAAACCACTCTGAATACATCCTTCCTTACTTTATTTACATAGTCTTCTTGCTAATATTTATGTGGAAATACGTATGAATACTTTCAAAACTATTTTTGAAGAAAGAGAAGATGGTCAAGTAGAAGCATTAATAAAAATTTCAAAATTTTATGCTGAACATTGCTAACGAAAGGCATTTAAAAAAAGCTGATGGAGTCCTTTCTAAATTCATGCTGTCAATTCTCACTGCTGTAAGAAAAATGATCTTTTCCATCAAAGTATGTGTTACCCTCTTAGATTACTTAAAAATTCCTCAGTTTGCCATCTTAGGTGACTTGCATGTTTAAAGGGTCCTTGCTTCTTCTTCCGGATTCCTGTAGGACTCCATTGCCCACCAACTGTATGCCCTAACTCATCCCCCAAGCCTTTTAGCCAATCAAGGGAGATTGCGAGACTGTGAACCTCTGACCTGGACAAATCCCAGGTGAGGGGGCAGGTACGACAACTGTGTCAGGGATATAAGGAGAAGCCACTGTCAGCCATTTTGTGCTGCGTGTTTGCTCAGCTGGAGTGGGCACATGCTTGCATCCTCTTGATCAAGAGAATATTGCCTTGTCAAGATTTTTCTGTCTCTTGTATGTCTGTTTTTGGCACCAGAGGGTTATTAATTCCAACACTGTTTCCACTGCATTCCCAACAGTGACGATACAAAAATCTCTCCAGAAATGGCTGTACCTCGTGCTTTACTGAGCATTCCTCTTCACCTACCTGCTCTTTACCATTACAATACCCTGTCTTTATCCATCTCTATCTCCCTAATGGTAACTCTGCCTTAAAGGGTAACTTCTGTTTATTCCTCACCCAAAACCGGTGTTGAAGATCATTGTTTTCCTTCAAAAGACATTATGGATGTTCAAGAACATCAGTATGTTTTCCTCTTACTGCCAACTTGTTTGTGGATTCTCTATTCTCTCATTATCCTCCAAAATTCTATGTTATTTCTAAGCCACAAAGTTTTTTCTATTTTTCACATTTCTTTAAACACTCACTGCCTCTTCTATACCATCACTCATCAATAATCTTCTAGCACCTAAAAGCCAACTACCTTTTTTAATCATTCTCTTTGATTCCTTTGCAATGACACAATTAGCTATGGATTTTGCCTTGAAACTTGTTTGTTCCTTGGCTAATCCTATTTAATCTTCTCTTTATTAATCTTCCTCTTTATAGTATTATGTTTTTCTTCACCAGCTATTTTTCCTCAACCTAGTTACCATATTTCCCTACTTCTTATTTGATTTCATTTTCCCCACATTTTACCTATCTCTTTTGTGGCATTTTATTCCACACAGAAAGCTCAAGGCGAACCTCCCCCAAGAGCCAGTACCACGTTTCAACATCTTAAGGGAATGATTACCTGGCTTTTATACATGTCTAAAAATAAGCTCATTTCCACCACCAACACGAATTCATCACTTATACCAGTGGTACCTCCATCCTCAGTCTCAAATCTTTTGAGTCAAAAAATGTATTCAAAAAACTCTCTCTGAAGAACATCGTAAAGAGTACCATCAAAAATTTTATACTTCCATAAAGATTAAGAAGACACAATTACAAATAGTAATGTGACTTAGAAAGTGCTAACCACAATGAGAATATAGAACAGAAATGATACACTGCTGGTTGGAAGGATTCTCTCCTTTCTCCCTTTTAAGACTGCAAATGAAACTGAACTGTCTTCAAAGGCAATCTTCATGTTTGTCTAGCAAGTGAGAGGCCAGCCCTTGGTTCAACCAGTCCAAAAGACAAACAAACAGAACTGCAAAGCTAAGCTTCAGCATCATCAGCTCTATCAGGAAATCATTTCCACTTTTTGTTGATCAGCATACTACTGCTGTACTGTGGGGTACGTTATGACATTTGCAAAAGTTCTTACAATATTTCATAGTTGAATTCATTTCCTTCATCATTCTCCTTTAGCCTCCTTCCCCATATTCCTGGAACAGTTTCAACAGGTCTCATTTTTCCATTTTCATGCATGAGTTCATAAAATTTCCACTATACTCAGTCTCTTTCACCCTTTCCTTATATCTTCCCCCCTCCCACTGGTACCAATCCCCAGACCAGACCTATTTTACCTTCGTGTTCTCCATTTTTTGGAAAAAAAGAAATTTCTGTTTGTTGATAGCTATACGAGTGTCATTACAACCAGGAAATCATGTTCATAATATTTGCTTTGATGACAGCAGAAATTCTAGCCAGTCTTTCTGCTATCTCTGCACTTGTCTTACATATTTTGCCATACTACAACTAAAAATATATACTCCTTTGTTCCAAGATACACACTAACTTTAGAGGAAAACATAATAAAACAACATAAGAACTCTTAAAATAGTTCACACTTATAAATACCTGAGCAATCACAGCTTCTCGTGTTCCGTAGTATTTGAAGAAGAGATGATCAGTCTGGATATAAAGCTGACAAGTGTTTCTTTCAGCTAAAGTTGTGCGCTTTTTCCTCAGGAGCTCGGGGCCATTAGCAGCGTGTTCTTCTTGAGGTGTCTATATGTCAAAAGAGTTGTTTCTGTAAATAACACGCTTCACTATTATAATTTTATACTTCTGAACATTAAGCAATTTCATATTGGGTGTTGTTATGTAACACTGTAGGAATTTCCAAAGCTACTAAAAAATTCCTCACAACAGAACAAAAACTACTACAGACTAAGAAAAGAGAAGGGAATTTGAGAGAGAGACTAATGGGAACCAAAACACTGGAGGGGGAGGTAGTTTAATGATACATTTCACTTATTTTTAAAATTCTCCATAAACATCACTTTTGGTCATGCAATATTCTCAATATCAATAATTTATTATTTATTCAAGCAATTCCTTCACTTTCAAGTATTTTTAAAAACGTACTGCTTAATATATATTCACTTAAGCCTAAAGAAAATCTCATAGTCGCTTATAATACTTTAATATCTCTTTAACTCCCAACCCCCACCCCAGTGCTGGAGCCCAGACCTTGGTTTTTTAAGACAGGAAATGTAGTCCACTCACTATGCAGCCCAGGTGATTTCCAACTCACAATCCACCTATCTCAGACTCCCAAGTGCTGGGATTACAAGTGAGCACTACCATGTACAGCTGATACCTTCTTTTCATCTTTTTTTAGTTAACATCTAATATCTAATTTACCATCCTGTCCTATCAAGTTTATCACCTAAGTACTGAGGGAATCTAACAGTTTTCTCCAGGTCCACCACTTTAGCCCAAGCTACCATTTCTTCTTATCTTCAGCACTGCAGTAAGATTGATTTAATCGATCCACACCCACTACTGACCTTTGAACTATTTGCCACATTACAATCTTTACAAAATGCAAATTTTTTGCCCAATTGCATCAGATATTCCAGTGAATTCCTATTGCTCTAAGGATAAAGCCCTTATAAAATCTTTATATGTACCACCGAATCAGTACAGCACAGCTCTACTTACCTATCTAGCTTCGTCTCATTCCATATTTCTTCACAAAGAGACCCTACTAGATGGCCCAACTCTAGCTGTCTATGGTAGAGCTATGTAAACCCTCTTTCTAATTCTCCAACGCATAGCCTGTCTTCTGTCACTCTTTGACATCCCAATGCTATCTCTCCTGATCTAGTTACTGTCTTCATTCTGACTTACAGAAGGGTAGTTAATCCATTATACTACTTTATAAAGCCATGTACTCATGTTTCTTACATTTATTACTGTGATTATTTGATAAATTTCTGTCCCCAACTCACCACCATCACTTCAACCACTAAATTCCAGGTATTGGAAAAAGAAACTATGACTGTATTTGTTCCTCACTATATTGCAATCACCTAACAGATTTAGCAGGAAGCAGTAGATATTCATTAAGTATTTCTTTAAAGAATTACTACTGCTATTAAATTCAAACACTCAGACACATTTATCAACATCTAAAAACATTTTAAGTGAATTTTGATAATAAGCCATACAGAACCTGAATTTTAAGCCACAACTCCAAATTTACACTTGTATTTTATACCTTCCTTCTCCCTTGACAATTCCCTGTGAACACATACAAAGTAAAAATATTTTATCTCACTCCATAAAAAGGGGGTAACTGTGAGATAATGAATGTTAATTTGCTCACTATAGTAACTATTTTATTATCTATACATATCCTGTTACATCATGCTACATACCTTAAATACATACAAATAAAGTTTACTTTTAAAAAATTAATATCATAAATGATAAACACTACTTCTGAAAAAGCTAGTTACAGTCCTAAGTAGTACAACATTTTGGGGAAATGTCCCCTGAGCCCCAGATTTTCATTTGGATGGTTTTCCAGGTCTCCATCTACAGAGGTCTTAAATGATTAAAATAATGTTTGTTTTATACAACCTTGTTATTTCATATGAAAAGGAGTTATATGCTAATCTGACTTACTATTAAAGTTACATATGCAAGATTTTCTACTTCAGGAAAAAAAACAATGGTCTAACGTGAAAATATTTTTAAGGAAAAGTTTTACGCCAATCTTAAATGTAAACCAACATAAAAGTAGTAAAGTGTTGAATCAAGTGGTTCAGATCCTCCACATCTTTACCAGGTTTTATTTATTTTTTTGTCTGACTATTCTCTCAGTTACTGAAAAGTAGGTTGAAATCTCCTATCATATGACTTTTCTACTGCTTTCAACCTTTCTAGATGCTGGTATCTTAGGGGTAGCTTCCGTAAAAGTTTATTTTGTTTTTATTAAATCCAGTCTGATTTTCTTTTAAAATTCATACATTTAATCCAATTACCTTTAACATAATTACCAGTTCATTCTTTTCTATTTGTCCTCTCTGTCCTACATTTTTCTTTTTCTCCTTTCTTCCCTTCTTCTTTTTGGATTTTTGGTTTTATTATTCTATCTATTCCCCCTTATTTGTTTTTTTTTCCCCAGGGGGAGGGGTGTGCATAGGGGATGGTGTCACTTTGTGCCCAGGTTGGACTAAGGTGATCCATCTACCTCAGCCTCCACAATAGCTAGGATTACACCATACAAGGCTTCTTTTAGCTTTTTAAGTTATATATTTTACAAACTTTTTTTTAAAAGTTAACCTAGAGGGCTGGAAGTATGGCTCAAATGGTAAAGCACTTGCCTAGTTATGTGAAACCCTGAGTTCAAACTCCAGATGCACAAAAAAAAAAAAAAAAAAAAAAGAGAAAGACGTTAACCTAGAGAGAACAATATAATCCTTGACTGACCAAAAGTCAAATATAAATTAGCACCTTTACTGGTTCACAGAAAATGCAAAACTTCAGAACACATTAATTATAGTTCCCTCACTCCCAATTTATGCTTCTCTATCTTCATAAACATATGAATTATACAACCCTATAAATCTTTATTACTAATGTTTTGTAGTATACAGTCCATACTCACTTAAAATTACCCATTGTATTTTTCTTCATTCAATCCTGCATCTACAAGTTAATATCTGAGCCTACAATCTTTTTACTGCAAAAAAACAAAAAAAACAAGCCATTAGTGTGTTCTGCCGGCTATTCTCTCAGTTTAGAATGTCTTTATTTATTTCAGCAATTGCAGCATTCTAAGATATCAGTTACTGTTTCTGCATATTCCATGGATTTCAGGATTCAACTGTTTCCAATGAGAAATGAACTGCCATTTTTAATGCTGCTTATCTGAAAATGATTCGACTTTTTTTTTTCTGACAATGTACTATGACAGTAATTTCAATGCATTTATTCTGCCCTAAGTACATGGATTAATAATTTGTTCTCTGATGTCCCTCTATATTTTTGAAATTCTCAGCCATCATCTGTCCTTTTTTGAATTCTATTTTTCTGCTTCAACAATTATACATATGTTAGACCGTCTTTTTTTAGGTCAGCAAAGCAAGGAGAAAGGAGCAACACACACACATACTCACAAGATGGGAGAATGAGGTTCAAAATGGTGGTCCTTGTCCCAATGTTTTATGCCTTCTGAGGGGGATTGCAGCTTGAACCCTTATCTAGACACATATCATCTAGCAACCCCTAACCACTTTGCTAAATTCCCAAGCATGGAGACAAAAGGCTTAAGAAGGGTCTAAGACTGCTTAAAATATAGAGATAAGAGGCCTTAGATGAGACAATGCCTGTAACATTTAGTGTGTTCCCCTCTCCTCAAAGAATCCATTCAACCAGGCCTACCTGGGTATCCCCATTCATTCATAGCCATTTAACTCACTTGACCATGTTAGACCTTCTTACTGTAAGGAGAGAATGACAGAGGTGACTTCATTTTAAATGAGAAAGGCACTTTAAAAGCAGACATCTAAAGAGGCATAAGAAATAATGGGCTTCTCAGAGAAATAACAAGCCTCTCATCAAAGTAATAAGATATAGTTGCACAATGTACGTAGTGGGCCCCAAAGGCCAGGACGAGTTGGGCAAACTTCCAAGGCCAGGATAAGCTGACTAGATCCTCCTGGAATGTCCAGTTCACTAAGGAGATGGACAGACAGGTGGACAGATTTAATAAGTTGACTAGGTACCAACCAATCACAAATACAGTTTCAAGGTAGGATAGTTGGACCTAAGTCAGTTAGTGCCCCGTATCATGTCCTAGACTTCAGCCACTGTTTGGCTTATCTCTTTCACTAAGTCCCACCTGTCAAGAGTGCTTTGCCACCCTTTAAATAAACTTTGTGCTTACTTTAACTCTTTTTTTCCTTTACTGTTGCGATGGGTAGGAGTACAATGTGGCATGTACACAGGTTCGTACAATGTATCAAATATATCATACATGAATTCACCTCCTCAACCATTCTCCTCCACCCTGGTCAGGTGTCTTCAATCATTAGCTATACCAGGACACGACTCAGGAACAACACTGCAGTATCATCAACGTCTTTTCTGTATTTTTTTTCTGTATTTTTCCATTCTTTTCTTCCTTAATAGTTTGTACTATTTTCTTATGACATACTATCCAGATCTAAATCCATAAAACTCTTAATTTATGTTGTATTTTTCAATTCTAAAATTCCACCAGGTTCTTTTATTTATTTTTAATTTTCTGCCAAGAGAGTAAATTTTGTCTTTATACACTTGAACAAACTGAAGTCTGTGACTGATCAGTTCATTATTCAGGTGTCTTTTTTAAAAAATTTTTATTTTATTCATATGTGCATGCAATGTTTGGGTCATTTTCCCCCCTTCCCCCGGCCCCTCCTTTACCCCCACTACCACTCCCTCCCTTACCCCCCCCTATACCTTGCTACCCAGCAGAAACTATTTTGCCCTTATCTCTAATTTTGTCAGGTGTCTTTAAGTTCTGTTTCCTCTTGTTATTCCACCGTGATTTTGTGCTCACATACTGATTATTTTGAACTGAGTGCCAGACAATGTACAGTCAGTCCTCCATATCCATGGGTTTTGCATTAGTGGATTCAATCAATACAAAACTGCACCTGTACTAAACATATAGATTTCTTTTCTTGCCATTATTCTCTAAAAAATACAGTACAGTAACTATTTATACTGTATTTGGTATTACATGTAATCTAGAGATAACTTAAAATATAAAGGAGGATGCAGATAGGCTTGAGCATCTATGGATTCTGGTGTCCACAGGGGGTCTTAGATCGGCTCTCCCACAAATACCAAGAGATGAAAAACCACAGATATAACCTGAGGAATCAGGTGATCTCTTTCTCAAGAGATTTACTTTCACTTCAGGCAAGCAGTTAGGTTTACTACATCAGTAATCCTGAATCTTTTTAAACTAATCAAAGACTGAGACAATATGATGTGAAACTTAAATCCCTCTAAGGAAAGGCTGCACATCTTCTGATTCTACTTTATGTGAGAGGAATAGCCCTTCAAGTCCCCAACCTGAGGCTCTTCTGGACAGGCCCTATACAATAGCTTTATCCTCAGCCTCACAAGTTTGGACAGTTCTACTAGCCTTCTCAGTCTCTTATTATCTCCTCACAAACTGGAAGATACACCTGGAGGAAAGTAGCCCCAAACACCAGGCTCACCTTTCTAGGTGTACATTTTATCTAAGATCTTGGCTTCATAATTCTTCACAGCTTTGTTATCTTTCCAATGTCTTCAAATAGATACATACACAAACATATACATGCATACACACATAAACATGAATATATATATATAAATATAAATATTTTAAATACTTGTATTGTGAGGCCAACTTGGCTTTTATTAGCTGCTCTAAGCAGAAGAAGGAATATTCTTAAAGTAACTCCTTATTTATTTTGGTGCACTGTGCTTATTTTTCCAAATTTAAAACTTGTCCTTTAAGGCATTTTTGAATTTTCATATGATGAAATGAAATCAATCTTTTTTTAGTCAAAGATTTTATGACTTATTAAAAATGTCTCTATCTCAAAATTCAAAATACTTTAAATGTCTAATTTTGAGAAGTGTCTTTTCAAATACTTTATCTACTTTTTGTTAAAAAGTGCATGTCTTAAAAATTGAACCATAAGAGTTCTTTATACATTCTGATGAGATGCCACTTGTCAGATAGATGCGTGAGTAGTCATTTTCTCAGCGTGTTGCTCGTATGCACATTTTTTAACTTTATCATTTGAAGTGAAATCTTTAATTTTGAGAAAATATAGTTTATACATCTTTGGTAGGATATTTTCTCCCTGAAAATTATCTATCCCAAAGTCACAAAAAGGTCTGCTTTTTTTTCCTACACATTTTGACTTTAGCATGTAGGGCTACTATCCATTTTGAGTTAATTTTTGTATAAGATATGAAGTGTAGGTAAGACTCAATTTTTTTTCATATGGATATTCAATTGTAGTAGTAACCATTTGTTGAAAAGACTGTTCTTTCTTCCTTTAAATTACTGTGGGACCTTTGCAAAAGTCAACTACCATAAGGACTCTCCATTCTGTTCATTGATTTTACATTTGCCCTTAGGTCAAGATGACATTATTTTGACTACTGTAGCTTTATCGTTTTGGCTATTCTAGGTCCTTTGCATTTCAGAGTTAGTTTTACAATTGGTTTGTCAAATACTAGATCAATCACCACTGGAATTTTTGTTTGTTTTTGGTGGTCCTGGGGTTTGAACTGAAGGCTTTTCACTTGCTAGACAAGCACTTACCACTTGAGCTATACCTCTAGCCCACCATGTATAACTGGGATTTTTTATTTTTTTTCAATAGAGGGGGCATTACATTTCCATAACAATTTGGGGAAAACTGACATATTCATATTGAGCCTTTCAACCATGAACACAGTATATTCTCTATTTGTTTGGATTCTTAATATTTCCTGATAAAATTTTGAGGTTTTATTCATATACACATATTGCACATATTATGTTCTATGTAGTCTACGTACTTTATATTTTTGGCATTATTTTCCAGTGATTTAAAAAATTTTCATTTAATGAAAAACAAATGATTTTTGCACACTGACTATATCCTATGTCTTCGGTAAATTTACTGAATTAAATCTAATAACTTTTTCAAGATTCCTTTGGATTTTTCTAGGCATATTCTATGTCAGCTAGGAGTAAATGCAATTTAACTGCTGCTTTTATACATATGCCTTTCATTTATTTTTCTTGCCTTATGCTGACTAGGACTTGTAGTATAATGCTGTGTAAAAGTAAGAATGGCATCCTTTCTTTGTTATTAGTCTCAAAAGAAAAGGATTTAGTCTCAAGATTGTGTTAGCTGTGGGTTTTATTTGGGGTTTTTACTTATTTGTTTTTGTGTTACGGGTCGGGGAACGACAGGTTCAAAGCCAGAATCTTGTGTATGATAGACAAGTATTCTACCAATGAGCTACATCCCCAACCCTAGCTGTAGGTCTTACACAGAAGCTCTTAACAATCTGAAGAGCTTTCCTTCTATTTTTAGTTGGCCAAATGTTGAGTGCTGAAACTTGAAGTAAGTTTTGCTACAAAGCCATTGAGATAAGTGCTGGACTTTCCTCCTATAACTGTTAATGTGGCAGGTTTATACTGATTGGTTTTTCTCATATTTATTAATCTTGCATTTCTGGTAAGATATTATAAATTGGTAAATTTTACTTGCTAATATTTTTTCAAGAAATTTTACATCTATATTCATAAGGGATATTCATCTGTAGTTTTCTTATAGTATTTTTGGTATGAGTATCAAAGTAATGTTGTCCTCATAAGATGTGTTACATTTTCCTTTTTCTTCAGGTAGAAGAGGGATTCTTTCTTAAATGTTCAAAATTTAACAGTGAAGTTATATTTGGTCTTGAAATTTTCCTTGATAGGAAATTATTGAGTACCGATTTAATATCATTATACACATATATTCTATTACTGCTTTAAAAAATTGTCCATAAATTGATATCATTGAATTTATTGGCTCATGATATTCAAAATATGCACTTAAACCACTAATGTCTACAGTAACATCCCTTCTTTTATCCTCGACATTGTTACAAATTTGTGTTTTTTCTTCATGTCTTCATCAGACTAGCTAGGAGTTTTTCAATCATTAATCTTACCAACTAATCTCCTCCCCTTGTCTTGTATGTCATTGACATAAACTCCTAACCTGTTGCTTTATTCCTTCTACTTATTTAGTAATTTGTACTTCCTTGTCTAGCTTTTAAAGTTGGATGCTATATGATTAATTTCTAGGTCTTTCTTCTTTTCTAGTATGATTATTTAGAGCCTTAAATTCTCTTTCAAGTACCACTTTAGATAAATCTCGTTTTGTTTTTTTTTTACCTTGAGTTTTTGTTATCATTCAGTTCAAACTAGTTTTGAATTGCATTGTTTAGAAGTGTGTGATTTAATTTCCCAGTGTTTGGGGATTTTCCTGGTTTTTGTTACAGGTTTCTCATGTAATTCCCTGGAGACGTAAAAAACTATTTTAGGTAATTTCAATTCTTTTAAACTTATCAAGACTTGTTTTATGATGTAGCATATTAAAGGAAATAAATATCCCACTGCACTTAAAAAGAATGTGTATTCTTCTATTTGAGAGTTCTATAAATGACAATTAGGTCAGGTTGACAGAGGTGTTCAATTGTACTATATTCTTATTATCTGTTTACTTACTCTATCAGTCTATCAACTTGTCTACTCAGAAATGAATGGATCGCCTGCTATAATTGGTGAGGTTTTTCATTTCTCGTCTTAGTTTTGCCTGTTTTTTCTTGATTTATTTTATAGTTTGATTATTAACTAACATTTAGAACTGCTATTTCTTTTATCATTATAAAATGTTCCTCTTTG